TTGATCGAACTCGTGCAACATGACTCTGAAAAGAGAAATATTTCTCAGCTTCAAATATCATACCCATACATCAATAGCTACTGGCATTAAACATTTATTTCGAACTTCACTTTCGATTGTAGTTTGCTTAGCTCTCCTGTTTTGCGATTTGAATTGGCGCGGCCTTGGNTGTCATGATAAAAATTGCAGTAGTTCGAAAGTTACTGTTTAAAATTAGAAACCATTTGGTGCAGAGACGCACGTACGTCTATTTGGTTAGTACCTGTATATATACCTTAAAAAATTTTGAATTTATTTTTGACAATCAGCGGTCTGACTCTGAGCTTCTAACTCTCCGATGATTATGATCCCAACTTGTTCAGCGTTCTTCATGTTACAAACGTTCGTGTGGCCGACGCCTCTGTCATACCGACACTTCCGACCACCAATCCGGCCTCCCTGGTCATGTCTATCGGTCGATATGCGGCAAGCTCAATCGTGAGGGACTACGAACGACAGTGGCACGCAGGCAATGCCAACTGAGCGACACCAAATACGCGGATTTGCTGTTCCAATCAATCTGCCGGTGACAAATTCGGTCCCTCTTCTCTAACCACCGCTTCGCCGGTATTGCTGAGTCCATGACCTCTTTTGTTTAGAACATTGTCGTCTTTTATGCACGTAACGTTCAAATAGATCAGAAAGGAAGAAGCCATTTTTCTTGTGATCGAATAAGCAAACTTGTCTTCAATTGATTGCAAACAATTTTGTAGGATTTCAAATCAATTTGTGTGATGGACACATCACGATATGATGAAAAGAGCGCAAAATCTGATGTGGTTAGCCAAAATATGTTTCATTCGTTAGTTTTGGGAGAACCGGAAATCAATCAGCCGAGGCAAACGCAAAACTTATACGCCCCAAGGCTAAATAACCTTGTGCTCCAACTACCGTGGCTTGTCTACTCAACGATTCCGGTGTTTACAAACCGCAATGAGCTGCGGAAACAAAATGATAGTGTCATATTAACTCTTCAGTTTTAAATGCATCTTGTGATGGGTAGTGTTTATGATAAAAGTAAGAATTTTTATTTCGTCCTTTTGCCAATCTAATTAGGCGCGCTTTGCGCAAGTGAACATCTAAGACAAAAACACTTTGAGAGTTAACCAGGCCATTGAACTAACTCAAACTGTCCAACGGTTTTTGACAGACAATGTTTTCCGTGTGGTTTCAATCGCCGGGTCATAGAATTCCATTCCCTGGAAACTGCTTACCCAAACCTTGTCAGATAATGAAAGAATCGGAGGAGTAAGGGAGAGGAAAATGTGGAGACATAAAAAAACATAGACTGTATTGAATGATTTCGG